ATGCCCATGGTAATGCTTTCAGTGATCAAGTTGGGCCAACGCCTGCTTTGGATACAATAGGGTTGGGCCCTTTTTCTATGGGTTGTGCTGCTAATGTTGGGTCGTCTGCTGGACAAACCTCCCGATCCATCCCTCTCACCTCTCAAGCTCACTGCAAAAAGCCTCTCCCTCAAAGCCCACGGCGTAAATTACCTGACCCCCCTCTGCAGGTTGCCTCTAGTCCACATAAAGCCACCAACCACCCAAGTGCCACCCCCCATTTAGCTCCCTTCAATCCTTCCATATCTTTACAAGACTTTCCCTCCCTCCGATCCTTCATGGCAGGAGGTTCAGAAACTAGGAGAGAGAGTCAAGATGGCCACTCTTTGGCAGGCCACCCTGTCACCCTACCTCATATTCCTCCCACTCCTTCCCTACCTCTTGATCAGATGGTCACTACCGTTCCTGGTCGACCACTAGACATCTTGCCCAATTCTAGTCACTCACTACTCGTTAATCGATGTGACCCAGCTGATGGTGCAAGCTGCCCATCGTATTCTAATGAGAATATAGTGCAATCCGAGATGCTTCTTACCCAACTCTAGATGAGCAGGGGTCTGTTGTAGCAGCTACGGCAACAAAGGTTGATCCACCTGGGTCAACTGAGATGGATATTTGATACGGCCTTTGGCCCTCCCTTTTTTGGCCAACTCCATGAAGGTTCTTGTTTGGAATTGTAGGGGAGCTGGTAATGATGCCACGTTCAGGACAATTTGCGAACTTGTTAGGTCTCATGACCCTGTTATTTTGGTCCTACTTGAGACTTGTGTTGCCAGCCAGAAAGCGAAACGCATAATTCACCGAACTCGACTTTCAGATATGGCAGCTGTTGAAGCTACGGGTTTTGCTGGTGGTATTTGGTTGTTTTGGCGGGCTGACTTAGTGGAAGTGGAAGTTCTCCCTCCCAATTCCCAAGCTCTCAGTGTTATAATTCGGAGACAAAATGAAGCAGATTGGCTCTTCACAGCTTTGTATGCTAGTCCAAACTTTACTTCTCGTTCGGAATTATGGCATTACCTGGTGGATGTTGCTTATGGTCTTCCCTTCCTTGGCTTATTGCGGGCGACTTCAATGAAATAAGTTCCAATGCTGAGAAGCAAGGAGGTGCACCCTCCACCCAACGACGCCTCTCGCGATTCATCCAAGTTATGGATGAATGCCATTTGACTGACTTGGGGTTTTCGGGACCCAAATTTACTTGGACTAATGGCCGCCATGGCCTAGCGAATATAAAAGAACGACTTGATAGAGCTCTCTGTAATGACCAATGGCATACCCTTTTTCCTGAAGCTTGGGTCCAACATCTTTCCAGAGTTAATTCTGACCACTGTCCAATTCTTATTTCACTTCTTGGGGTTGTCCTTCACCCTTTGCGGCGTCCGTTTCGAATGGAGGCTGCGTGGTTAACCCACCCTACGTTTGAAACCCTTGTGCAGCAATCATGGAATTTTAGTGAAAGAGACTTGCCGCTTACAATTGAACGGTTCGTGGCTGCCGCTACAACTTGGAACAGAGAGGTGTTTGGAAATATTTTCTGGAATAAAAAGCGTGTGTTAGCAAGACTGCATGGTATCCAAAAAGCTTTGAGTTTGGCTTCCAATCCTTTCCTTGAAGATCTTGAATCTCACCTCACCGTTGAGTATAATCAGCTGTTGTTGCAAGAGAAAATGCTTTGGTATCAGAAATCTAGATTCAACTGGCTCATGTTTGGTGACGCCAATACTCGTTTCTTTCATACTTCGACCCTTATTCGACGCAAGCGCAATAGGATCATGGCTTTAAAAAATGATGATGGTACTTGGTGCACAAACCAAATTGAGCTTCAAGCTAGAGCTATCCAGCATTTTCAGCAGTTGTTTAAGACTGAAGTTGTGGGTCCTGTTTCTGCTCTACCTCAGGTTGGTTCAAGAGCTGTTACACTCCATGAAGAAGTCTAAAAATACCCACGGTACAATGGCCATAAAAGTCGACCTAGAAAAGGCATATGACCGGATAGAATGGAGCTTCTTGGAACAGGTGTTAACTGAAATGAACTTTCCTCTTTCCTGGACATCCCTAATTCTACAATGTGTGTCTACGACTCAACTTGCAATTCTCTGGAATGGTGAGATTACTCCATACTTTCAACCCTCTAGAGGTTTACGTCAAGGGGACCCCCTTTCACCTTACCTATTTCTCTTCTGTCTTGAAAAATTGGGGCAGAGTATATCTGAGGCAGTCACCCAGCGGCAATGGAAACCAGTTAAGGTTTCTCGGCAAGGGCCTAGTTTTTCGCATCTTTTCTTTGCGGATGACATGTTTCTATTTGGAGAGGCTTCTACCAGGCAGATGTCGGTCATTAAGCATATCATGCAATCCTTTTGTGCATTCTCGGGCCAACGAATTAATTTCCAGAAATCTAGGATTTTTTTTCCTCCAGCTGTTCCTCGACAAACTGGACAGGATCTGAGTTTGGACAGTGGCATCCCTATTGCCTCTCACTTGGGTAACTATTTGGGCGTCCATTTGTTACACAATCGCGTGTCAAAAGGCACGTATAATCACATTATTGATCGGGTCCAGCACAGATTAGCAGGGTGGAAAGCTCGTCAACTATCTCTGGCTGGCCGAGCTACTCTTATTCAATCGGTCTCTTCCTCCATACCTGCCTATGCTATGCAATCTACACATCTTCCTGGTTCAGTGTGCTCAACTATTGACAAATGTCACCGTCGATTTCTTTGGGGTGGTGATCAAGCGCAGCAGCGCATGTCTCTTGTGGCTTGGGAGGATGTGTGTCAGCCTAAAGGAGATGGAGGTTTGGGTCTTCGCAAGATGAGGGATATCAATAATGCCTTGTTGGCCAAGTTGGGTTGGCGTGTGTTACACGAATCCACACCTTGGGCTAGTGCCCTTCGCAGTAAATATCTACCAGACAGGAGAAAGTTGTGGGATCCTTGCCCCACCAACTCATCTTACACCTGGCGTAGTATCACCAAGGGAGCTTCTGTGATAAGGGATGGATCTCGCTGGCGTGTGGGCAATGGCCGATTGATACATTTTTGGACAGACTTGTGGTTGGGTGACTCCCCTCTTCAACAGCGTGTTCTTTCTACCCTCCCAGCACCTGAACTTTTGCTCAAAATTTGCGACTATTGGCTTGATGGAACTGGTTAGGATTGGCACAGATTGGCTTGTTGGCTCCCTAGTAAAGACTTAGATACTTTGCGTGCCGTTATGGTTCGAACGGATGATGGCAATCCTGACCTTTTAAGTTGGAAGCACTCCCCCAATAGAACTTTTTCCATTAAATCAGCCTACTCTCTTATTTAGCAGCATAACCCCCCACGGGATGATCTTTCAGAGGGCTGGAAGCAGATCTGGTGTAGTGTGGGGCCTAATAGATGGAAGCATTTCACTTGGCTTGCACGGCGGGACCGCCTGTTAACCAATGCCATGAAGCATCAACAACATTTGAGTGTTGATTCATCCTGTTGTATTTGTTTACATCATGCTGAGACTACACTTCATGCACTTCGAGATTGCCACCGATCGAAACGCGTTTGGTCTGAGCTTATCCCTCCTTCTCATTGGCTACAGTTCTTTTCTCTTCCGTTAACTGTTTGGATTGATGTGAATATGGGCATACCCCCTTGGGCTGATGTTACCAGCCGTAATTGGGCCCTAATTTTCATGGCTGCTATCTCATCCTTATGGTTTTAGCGTAACCAACAACTTCATGATAGTGTTTTTCAGGAGCCCGTTCAACCGGTGGAACTTATCCATGGCCGGGTTACGGAATTTCAGCTTCATTCTAATAAGACTTTGCACAAGAAGGATGCAACTACTATCCACGTGGTATGGCAGCACCCCTCGTTGGGATGGGTAAAGCTCAACGTTGATGGTGCAGTCTGTCGGCGCACTGGTAAGGCTGCATGTGGTGGTCTGCTTCGCAATGCTCAAGGACAGTGGTTATGTGGTTTTAAGCAGCAAGTGGGCCACTCCTCAATTGTGTCTGCTGAATTATGGGGTCTCTGGCACGGTTTGCAGTTAGCTTGGCACGAAGGACATCATCGGGTCGTCGTTGAGTCGGATTCAGCGAAAGCAGTTTCGGCCTTGAGAAAAACCAACCCACTACACCCTCAGTTTAATTTATTACACGAAATTTGGGAGCTTATGGCAAGGAGTTGGGAGTGCGACCTCCATCAAATTGGGCAGGAAGCTAATGTCTGTGCTGATTAACTTGTGAAAGGGGCCCTTAGTATGGCTGTTAACAGGGAAGATTTATTAGATGAGCCCTCTATTTTGGCTCCTGCTTTAGATAGAGATATATGGGGGCTTGGTTCCTCTCGTAGTGTTCTTCCTTAGTTTTGGCTTCGGTCCGGAATTTACCAAAAAAAAAAAACAAAAAGAATAAAAAATTTTTATCGAATCCTACTTTAATCAGATGTCAATTAATAAATAGAAAGACACACCACATCACCAATCACATATCGTGTTTTATTTTCTTGTATAAGTACACTCCACACAAAGAATGGACAGCATTTGCTTGACGGAGCTAAGATGTAAATTGCCAGACTACTGCATCAAAGCAAGTAAAACCTGCGAGACAACTCTACAGGCATCACCAACATAACTGCTGGCACAGAACATGTGCATTTTAGGCATCACCCACATGATCAATACAAATGGGTTCAACCCACCACCACCACCCACCACTCTCTTCTTCCTAGACTAGACTCTAGGCATTCAATTTAATTTGTAAAAATAAAATAAAATTAATAATTCCAAATATCACATAATATTATTTATTTATATAATGTTAGAACTGTCGATTGTCTTTAATAATCTGCCTATATCAAATAAAATAATAATTGCTCAACGGATAAAATTTATTTTAGGATAACAAAATGATCTTTCCCAATAGCTTGTATCGATCCGAAGATTTGAGCCATTGATCGGAATGACACAAAAACAATATCTCATCTAATTGACTGATTGCCCATGATTTAATATAGTTGTAATTAATAATTTCATTTCCAAATGAATGAATAAATGAATTAAGACATAATAAGAGAGGAGTTCACAAAGTGAATGATTCTCTTTACAAAGCCAAATATATCAACACAGACCCATCAAAATTATGAAGGAAAAAAAAAAAATATTTGAAATCCAACTAATAATCTAAATTAATTAATCCAAATCGGACATTAATGATAAGCGAGGTTTCTTCATGGGTAGAGGACTTTCCACCTCCTGCTCGCCGGAAAGTTGACTTTTTCTCACACAGTCAACTCTCAGCCCCGGGAAGAATTCCGGCAAGGCGGGCAGGTTGAGGTCGAATTCACGGTGGACGTGACTCGAACCAGCACCTTCCGATGAGGTGACGCCGCTACCGGCGCCGCCGTTGGCATTGGTGGTGCTGTTGTTGTTGCCGCCGTCGTAGTGGCGGCGCTTGTGGCCGCCGAGGGCTTGGCCGGTGGGGAAGGACTTGTGGCAGATGGAGCACTCATGGGTCCGACCACTTGGGTTAAGAGTGGTGGCGGAGGCGGCGGAAGTCGAAGGGTGGTCGTCGGAGGTAGTGGCTGCGGCGGCGGCGGAGGCTGCGAGTTTCCGGTGGCTGGCTTTGTGGCCGCCGAGCGCCTGATAGGAGGAGAAGGCTTTGTCGCAGACACTGCACTTGTAGGAGGCCGGTGGCGGAGGAGATAAAGTATGTCGGTCAGTTGTGGCGGTGGCTGCGGCGGAGGAGGAGGAGGAAGCGGTGGAGCCGCCGCGAGCGAGCATGATAAGGCAGAGGGCTAAATACTCTTCTTCGGTCGGTGGGTTTTCGCTGCGGGAACGCTTGGAGCGCTTTCTCTTAGTCCATGGCTCGAGACAGTGGAGGTCCATGTCGTCGAAGTAGGGCGGCGGAGGAGCAGCTGTGGTTGGAGAGTTGAGAGCTTCAAGAGCCATATCTCAGAGAGAGAGAGAGAGAGAGAGAGGAGTTATTTGTTTGTTGTGTGTGTGTGTGTTTGTGAGGAGTGAGAGACTGAGGCGGTGGAGATGAAGGGATGAGGGAGGTGGTGTTTATAAGTGGAGAGAGAGCGGGGGAGGGGGTGGGAAGTTGCGTAGGGAATGGCGGTGGAGGTGTTGTGTAGGTTATATAAACACTCAATTAATATATAATTGAGAGATATGGTATAGATATTTATAGATATAGAGATATATATAGCGAGAGAGATAGAGAGGATCAGGTCTGTGGGAGGCTGAGTTGGTGGGGTTGGAGAAGAGTGAAGTCGGTCAAGAAGAAGAAGGGGTGAGGATTTGGGTGACTGAGCTACTATCTTTTTAAAATATGTCATGGATGACTTCTTCTAAGTCAAAATAAACGTACGCAACTGGTTTCAATTTCACCCCCACCCTACCCACATCACCCACACCCACTCCAACTCCAACCAATTAATGCATCACCAATACCACACTTGCACACACTCATATCTCTAAAATAAAAATCAAAATTCAAAAAACACAAAAATGATATATAAATTTATTATTTAAATAACGACTAATGTTTTGAGAAAGAGTATTATCATTTATGTCTTAAAATTAGAATCACTTTTCAAAATTTAATGATATGACACCTTATTAAAATATTTAAGTCAATTATTTTGTTTTTACTTATTTCTTAATCATTAACCAATCATCTTATTTATATATTATTGGGCATATAAAATAGTAATAAATTATCACATCATTATGTTTGAAAAGTTAGTTTAAATTTTTTTGCCTAAACAGGACTCTAAAATTATCCAGGACTGGTTTGAAAATAGACTATTTCAGTTAATTTTTTTAAAAATTTTAATGAAAAAATATATAGGAAAATAGATAAAATGATAACTTACAATAACTTTTTGATAAAAAAACATTCATATCCCAATAAAAGACAAAATACTATATATACACAAATTTATTACTTCATTTTCTTTCTATTTATCTGTAAATTATTTAATACTCGTGAAATACTTTTTGATATAAGTTTTGTATTAAAACAGTTGACTTGGCACAGGATTTGTAATATTACACCTCATAGAAGTAAATATTGGGTATAAAAAATCAAAAATTTTGGTCTCAGCATTCAATTCAATTTCATCAATTTTTGTTTGTTTTTTACTAGCCTAATAAGTAATGAGAGTAATGTTATGCATCATGAAAAAAAATTATAAAAAGTTTTTATGAAATTAATTTAAAAGTTATTGTATAACATACAATAAATATTATAAACTAATTCAAGGATGAAAAATCTTTATAAAGGTTCCATAATATTTCTCTTGGGATGCCTAGTAGTATTGTAGCATCTCTAAGGGGGTTAAGTAAGGTTTGTTAGGCATTTTAGACAATATAAGTCTAATTTTGAGCACTAATGGGCTAGCTATTGGGCTAACTATTTTACCATCCTATTTTTTTGGTGACTACAATTAAAGAGTTCCAGAGGCTCTCCAAACAATTATGTATGTATATATTTTAGATTTTTATATATTTATGTCTTGGATTTGGGATTTTATATTATATATATATGTGTGTGTGTAACAATTTTATATGTTCTTTCAATTTTATTTGATGAATCACGGAATAACTTATTTTGTATTTTTTTTCTCCTCATTCTACAGGTTTTGTATGTTTGTATGGGGAAATTTATTATTATTGCAAATTTATATTAGTAAAATATTAACAATTAGCATTTTTTTTATTTTAAAAATTAATTAAGTTAGTTTAAATGATTAGCTAAAATAAAGAGCGTGGTTGGAGAACACAATAGCTAAAGTAATTAGGTAAAATAAATAGTGTACTATTTTTATACTTTAGCTAGTGAAAAGTAGAAAGTGTAGTTAGAGTTACTCAGTTTAGTTGTCAACAATATATATTAATGATGGGACTCATTATATTAATATTGTGTTAATAAATAAAATGATATATATTATATAATATAAAAATGTGATAATATAGCTTTACTGTATGGATAATATCATGTCTGTGCTATTTTAAGAGAGAATGTGTTAATTCATCAGTTTCTAAAACAACAAAAGTAAGCATTTTTTTACATCTATCAATAGGACTGTATGGATAATATCTTGTCTATGCTATTTTAAGAGAGAATGTGTTAATTCATTAGTTTCTAAAACAACAAAAGCAAGCATTTTTTTATATCTATCAATAGGAGAAAAGGGATAAGAAGTGAGAAAGTAATTATGATTTTAAAATCTAAACAATATCTTGCAAGATACAATCAGATGGCCCGCATAGAGTTAAATCTTTTTTACTTTAAAAATTTGTGGATTGCGATTGTAATGGGTTGCAAGTTGCTTTTTCTTTTAAGTTATTTAAATTAAGGATAAATTAAAAATATGTCTTTTGAGATTTACTTAAAATACAGATTATTTTTTGTAATTTAAAAAATTACAAATATCACTTTATTAGAATTTTTTATTTAATAGAATTAACTAAAAAAATAATTTCATAATTGCTATCCTATACAATAATAAAATTACCTAAATTATTAATTGAAACATATTTTTAACATCATTAAAACTGTTAATTGACTTGATTTATTAATAAAAGAATCGATTTGTTATGAAATTAGAAATCTTAGGAGATGAAATGTAATTTTCAAAACTACAGGGAGCGATTCGTATTATAATCAAATCTCAAATAATGTATTTTTAATTTACCCTTTAATTAATGGGTTATGTGAAAACTACATCAAAATTCTTATTAATGGTTTAGAAGTTAATTTCGAAAATCAACTTATGAATCAATGAGTTGTGTTCAAAATATAAACTTCTAAATAAAAAATTTAAAAATTGAGTGTATGAATTGAGTTAATATAATGTGCGAAGATAGAATCACTCTCCTTACTAGTCTGAAAGTGCCATGAGAGCAATAAAAGTCTACTGACCATTTAATTGACAATAGTTTTAAAAAAAAAAATTTAAAAATATAAATAAAAAAGGTTAAAAGAATGCAAATAAGTTCGCAAAACAGACAAGTGTTAATATTCTTAAATAAAAAAGGTTAAATACATAAAATAAATAACAAATCAACCACTTGCGTTGCAGTTCGCATCTAGCAATGTGAGCCCCTAAAAAGTGGTTTCCTCCATTACAACTTCGAAAATTCATTTTACATGAGAGTTAATGATTAATTTATTATTATCATTATTTTTTGCATCGGTATAAATATTTTTGATTTTCAATATTGATACTCATCATTATAATTAGTTATAACTCACTAAGGGATTGTTTAGAATATTCTAAATAAATGTACTTTTTTATTTTTTATGAAATATAAGTTGGGTTTGAAGTGATGTGGTAGAAAGATGATATGACTTAAATAAGATAATGATTTTTTGACTTTTCAACTTTTTTAGGAGATAACAAATAAGGCCTAAATAAGAAAAAAATATACGCCAGCATACGTTTACAAAAAAATCAAATTAATAGAAAATTTTGTATATATTAATAATTAAATTCATAATTATTTTTATTAATTTATAAATATTTTGTAAAAACTCCATTAGTGTGTAATTTTCTCAAAATTATATCATGTTAATTTATATGTTATTGGTTGAAACAGTGACCTCATTATTTTTTTTGTCTTTTTTTTAGGATAATAGAATAAATATGCATATTAACCGCTATTTTATGTATAAAAATCAACTAACTAAATAAAAATAAAAATAAAAATAAAAATAAATAGTGCCTTTTTATTTACCAGAACCTTCCAATTTGAAGGTATCTAAAGAATGGTTACATGTGCTTCTTTTTCGTAGTTACTATATAGTTGGCTCCCTCTAAGAAGGACACCAAATTTTCGCGAGGAACATCCCATCAGCTTCCACGTGTTTTCTTCTAATAAACCACAAATTTACCATAATGTCCCTCCATTGTCCATAAACCATTTTCACGTCATTGCTTTGGAATCACTAGTATTTTGCGTGTTTTTACTTTTTATTTTTTTATTTTTTTTTAGAGCTATGTTATATCTATTAAATTTTAATTTGTTGAATCATTTGAATTTGTGCATATCGGTTGTCTGGTCAGTCATCTGATAACAAAAGTGACAGCTGTAATTAACAAATGTGACAATTGCGATTGAGAAGAGTTGTGTCAATTGTCTCGGTGGTTGTCCGGACGGTCGATCAACATGCACAAATTCAGATAATTTAGATAAACTCAAATTCGATAGCTGAATCATTTTTGTTTTTCTAGAAACGTATTTTACGTGTTAATCAAAAACTCTAAATAATTATTCATTCATCTGAAAAATTACTTGGTGTTGATTGTGATCGATTTTTTAAGTTATTTTTTAATTTTTCAAAAAAATTAAAAATAGTAATATGTTAAGTTGTAATAATAATAATATTTCTTTTTCTTTTTTTTTTTTTGGTAAATGAATAAGATTGACATGATAGTTAAATTTTTTTAGTTGATTACAAATAATTTTTTTGACATTTTGGGCAAAAAAATTGACTTTTTTTAATAGAGCAATGTTAGACTTTAAATAAATTATCAAATATTTTACAAAATACTCACTTGGATTATGGGACTCATATTGATCCCACACTTATGTGAAAATTTGATAGAATATTTAATAATTTATTTAGAATCTCTAGTATTTTTGTGTTTCATATATCTCAAACCAGGCCTGAGTACTCCCAAAATATCATGTGGCATAACTTGTGTGTGGGTGATTTTCCGACCACACTGCCTGCTTAGTAACTAGCTGGAGAGCACCGGTAGAATAGATAGCACCTGACTGACCTGCAACAGAAATATAAGAATCCCGCGGTGGTTTCGACCACCCGGGGGCACTCCGACGATCAAGTCAGTATATCTCTCAAAGATAAATCAAGTATTAAACTCACAAGCTTGAGTATCAAAAGCATACCTTAGACCCATGGGGGTGCCTCTCTTTTATAGCCAATACAATCCTAGTCCCAATAGGAGCCTAGCCCTAATGGACTTAGGGTTACTGCTAATCTGGGACTCCCAGTAAGATTAGGATACACTCTCTAAGAGTCTTATCTTTATCCAAACTGATGTCTTCTCCCAATCTAGGACTCTTGTCCATATCTAGGTTGAGTTCCCTCTTTATTCTAGGACTCTTGTCCTTTATCCACTTATCTCAGATTCCGATATCTTTGGAGATAACCTCGGCCTTGCCGAGATCACCTCGGCGTCACGACCAGGACACGTGGCACCTCAGCTGACACGTCG